GTTGTTGTTGTTGTTGTTGTTGCTGCTGCTAGAGAAAGTGGTGCACTGAAAAAGTGAGAAAGACCACCACCGCCGCCGCAGTTGTCGCAGTCGTCGATCGATGATTTGATGATGCTCACTGGAAGGCATTTGCATTGCAAATGAAACTTGTCACCATCGTGTACTGTCGCAGCCGCTTCAAACTTCAACTGAGGCCATTGCATGAGAGAGCGAAAGAGTGATGATGTTGCTGGTGGTGCTGCTGAATACTTCAACGAGTGAATGCAACAAGTGCAACACTTTTCTACCGCCACTTCAACTTCACAGAAGAGAAAGGGAGCACAGGAATTGTTGTCGCCAGTTGACAAGAAGAATGAACATTGCGACAATTGAAGTGGAACAGAGCAAGAGTATGTGTGTTTTTGTGTGTGTTTGTGCGTGCGTGCTGTGGGAGGTAGTGAAAGGAGTAGAGAGAAACTGGTGGAAAGTGAAGGTGAGGTCGTTGTTCACCGGTTCGCCTGTGTGTTACCAAGTGAAGCACATCACCGGTAAAGTGAGCACCCTCAACACTTTACAAAGGGGGAGATTGGCCTGCCGAACAGATGATCTGCGCTATAAAACGAAGTAGATAAAAGTCACACAACAATGACAGTGCAGGGTCGCAGTTGGCGGCGGTGGTGGCGGAGATATCTCCACTATGAATCATCCATCATCGACACAGTGAGTGAAGGGAAGAGAGCGACTGCATTCTCGCTAATTAGTGACAAGTTTTATTGTGGAAGCGGCATTTTTCTAGTCTGTCTGTCTTGCCTGCCTGGTGAGATGTTTACTGACTGACTGACTGTCAGGCGATGCTGAAGAGAAGAGAAGAGAATAGAAGGGGCTGTTGCTACTGCTGCTGTCTTCTGCTACCGGTGGAGGTAGCTGTGTGCTCAGCTCAGATCAGGTGGCTGTTGCTGCTGATGCTGATGATGATTTATTGGCGCCAGAAGCAATGTCACTCAGTGCAGATCATCTGCAGATGGCTGAACGGCAATGGCAGTAGCTGTAGCAGCAGCAGTAGTAACTTCCACCGATACCGTCCGACTTTTTCTTCTTCTTCTTCTTCGACTGATGCTGCTGATGAGATGTTGCGGCTGATGGTGGTGCTGGCACCCTTCAAGAGTGCTGTTGCGGTGCGGTGGCGTGTGACTCTCTGCAAGAGACACTCTGCAGAAGAAAACTGAGCTGAGCTGACGGTCACTGGCTTGATCATCCTCCACACACTAATGCGGATGCCTTCTTCTTCTGCATCACCCTCTTCTTCTTCTTCTTCTTGCTACTTAGAGGGGCGTGATCAAGCGGCGCCAAGGTACGAGTAGTAGTGTAGGGGTGGGCGAGTGAGTGAGTGAGTGAAGCAGTACACAGGTGTGTGCTTGCATGCATGTGCAGCCTTACATTAGGTATTGGTGCATTGCAGAGTCGCTGTCTGCCTGCCAGTTTGTGTTGGCGCCAGACCGGTAACATGGAAAGCCAGGCAGGCAGCCATTCTCAGCCATGCAGTGAGGCAGTCAGCCAGTCAGCCCGAAGCGGCAGCATACATTCGCACTTTAGATTTTTCCATTAGATTAAAGTCCATCAATTCAAATGTTGGCGGGCGCTAATTGAAGAATGCAGGCATAGCCGCCAGTGGACAGCACCGCCACCATCACCACCACCGCCGCCATTGCTATCGCCTTCCCTCATCAGGCAGAGAGCAGTGCTGCTGCTGCTGCTGCTGGCACGCCAGCCAACACATCGGATTGGCCTCTTCAAAGAAGGCANGCCGCCATTGCTATCGCCTTCCCTCATCAGGCAGAGAGCACTGCTGCTGCTGCTGCTGGCACGCCAGCCAACACATCGGATTGGCCTCTTCAAAGAAGGCACACAGACACAGAAACACAGACAGAAGGTGAACGACGACGATCAGTTTTCTCCTCAGAGTGTGTGTGTGTTGAGCTGAGCTGAGCTGTCCTTCAATCAAGTTCAGGGATAGTGATGTCCGAGGGTTGACCGACAGACAAACGAGGAAGTGATGTTTTCCCCAGCAATGCAGCTGCTAAAGAGTTAGCCAGTGCAAATCGAAGCTGGAGTACACTGGAATACAGACTGACTGACTGATCACTTGTAATTGAAAAGAAATTAGGTTAACCAGGCATACTCTGATGATTAATTACAGAGGTGCACTTGCAATTGATTGACTGTAGTTAGTGTTTGATTATGGGCGCATCAGCATTCTCAGAGGTCATCGCTTCAATGCTAAACCAATGGGTAGATGATTAAATTCAAGGTAAGTTAAATTGCCCATTAAGAGCTGCTTTGAGAGCTTTCATCAAAAAATGTTATTATTGCGCCATCTTGCACTGTGTTTGTATTTTCGCAGTTATAAAAAAGCTTTTTGAAATGTAGGAAACAGCGTCGTGCAAAGTACAGTTAGTACTCAAAAAGTGTACAATTTAGTTTTCACTGAACTAGTGACTTGAAATCTAAATGAAAAAAGTGCATTAATAGACTGCATAACATAGTTTGGTGCGCTTGACAGATACTTCTGCAAATTGTCAACGTTGATTGTCTTCGAATTAAAAGGTAGAGCCAGACCATCCAACATTTCCCGGGCTAAGATCAACAAATTCAATGTACATTCGGTCAGATGGAATTCCGATCTCTTTCTCAATAAAGCCCATGATCTTCTCCGAGCTTTTCTTGTTCTGCTGACTGCTAATGCTGCCAATGCTGCTCAGACGGCAGTTGCCAGCTGGAGTTTGTCCGTCTCCGCCTAAGTTTAAAAACAAAAACATTGTTAAAATACTGATGATAAACAAAAGACTAAATATGGTTCGTTACCAAAACACAGATTGGCGCCAGGATTAATCTGAACGACGACATAGGAAGCAGGCTTGCAGAGCGTTTGCGCCACTACATTGGTCAGCTTTTCGCCAAAACCGGACGGAATTTTGTCCGCGCCAAGATTGGTGGTCAGTACAAAAACGGGCATAGTTTTTCGTTGGTTGATAAACAAGAGATGACACTGCACGAAAGGTCCAAAAGAATCCAAAACGTTACGAAAAATTTCAAGATTCAAACTGAATTTTCAGATGTTTTTGTCGCCGATGCAACCTGTTCCACTTCAAAGATGCTGTTACGCTGCTGTACATTGCGCAATGCATTGCGATTTTTGCCGCATCCACTGGTAAGTGCGCTATCATATCATCAAAGAATCGCCTATTGTTCCTTCTTTGTACCATTTTAAAGTTCGCATTCTATCTCAGGAATATGTGACCGTCAAGTTGGCAAAGTTGGAGCTTGTTTTGAAAACAATGCGAACTCGGCTGATGCAGCTTGGATGCGTACAGGTGTCAGTTTACGGTTCACCATCAGCAAG